GTTGTTTTTTTAAGTTTACTTGTTATTCTTCTTTCTACTTCTTTCTTCCCTCCCTCCTCTCTCCTCCTTCCTTCTCTCTCTCTCTCTCTCTTCTCTCTCTCTCTCTCTCTCTCTCTCCCTCCTCTCTCTCTCTCTGTCTCTCTGCCACAGCACAGCCAACCACACTCTTCATCTGGTGCTCAAAGAAACTGGTCTGCTGCAACACTGGAGGAAAAACTGGCGATACGAGAATCATTGAGAGACAAAAAAAATATCCAAATTGTCAAGGGCCATTTAGTCACAGTGACCCTTTTTAAGTGCTGATTTCAGAACCTAACCTTCTCTTAGGCCATAAAATTCACCCCCACAGTGTTCCCCGGTTAATTCCCGCATTTCCACTGCACTGCACTTTGCTGCCTCCGTGGTGTCTGTTCCTGCTAAACCTGGTGTGGCCTTGGCTACATCATCCCCGGTCTGGATCCTGCCTGTCTATGATTACGAGGCTCAAATGGCAGCCCTTAAAAGAATATGAAAACAAATATGTGTGCATATGTATGACAGGGACATTATGCTGTACACCAGAAATTGACACATTGTGACTCATTATACTTCAATTGAAAAAAAGAGAGAGAGTTCCATCAAAAAAAAAGGCGGCTCTTGAATGGTGATTATCTTTTCCTCTGAATCCCATAGCATATTGTATTTTTGTTTTTTTGCTTTTGGTTTTTTAAATTTGGGGGGGTAGATATTTAGGTTTTCTACTTATTTATTTGTTTTACTGGTGGTACAGGGGATTGAACGCAGGGCCTCGTGCATGCTAAGCACACACTCTACCACTTGAGCTATCCCGCCACCCCAGCACACTCTTGTATTTACAGTATCTCCAACTTCCAGAGATTCTATTCTTCGTGCATGCAACTCATCTCCTTCATTATTTTATAAACTCCTTGAGGAGTCTCCTAGAGTAGGGTCCGTGCCTTCTTTAGTCTGGATTCCCAAAATGCAGTTAGAGGAAACCCCAAAATGTTTTACAAATTTAAAAACTAAATGTCATTTAACAGAGCATTAGCCCCACTCCCCCCCCAAAAAGCTACTTTGAAAAGGAAAACAAAGCTTACTTTGATTTAATTTTTTAATTTATTTTTTGGGGGGAGGTGGTAAGTAGGGGCTTGAACCCAGAACCTCCTGCATGCTAAGCATGCGCTCTACCACTTGAGCGATACCCTCCCCCAATGAAGCTTAATTTTAATTGTCGGGACTGTGGTCATGTTACGGACTAAGCTGTGCCCTCCCACAAATTCATATGTTGAAGTCCTTATTCCCATTTCAGGGGTATTTGGAGATGGGTCCTTTAGGGAAGTAATTAAGGTTAAATGAGGTCAAAAGATGGAGCTTTAATCCACCGGGATTAGTGTCCTTATAAAAGGAGGAAGCGACCCCAGAGCTTTCTCTCTCTCCATGCGCCTAGCAAAAAGGACACGTGAGCACACAGTGAGAAGGCTGCCGTCTGCAGACCAGGGCTGCATCAGAGCCCGACCACGTGGGCACCTTGATCTTGGACCTCTGGCCTCCAGAGCTGTGAGGAAATAAACTTCTGTTGTTTAAGCCAACCAGCCTCCAGTGTTTTGTGACAGCAGCCTAGGCAGACTTACACAGTGGTAATGGTAAGATGTTAGCTAGAAGTGGAAGAAAGCCAGTCTAAATAAAGGAATATTGCTGACTCACAGAATCTCATGCTGAGACCTTTTTGGGGGTAGAAACTAGGGAAGACTTAGGAAACATGGCTCCTTTTGTCTTGTCACAAATGGCACAAGATGCCCTCTTAGTCTGCTGCCACTTACGTCCTCTGTGGCAGAGGAATAAAAACTGGTAAAAATTCGACTAAGAAATTGAATAGGGCTAAACAATTAATTTTTAGATCGACAATAAAGTCAGCAGAGGGAAATAAGCACTGAAATAATACTTTAAAACAATCAGGAAGTTGACAAGGAAATCGCTACTGGCTTCCATTAGAGTAAGAGCATACTTTCTTACAATGGTTTCTTGAAATGATGATATATTGATCTTCTTGGGCTGATCCATTAGCCATGGAAAGATGTACCTGAATCTCTAGGGACGTTACTGAGTACAGCCATCAGGCCATGTCACGGAACCACACACTACCCCCAAACCAGTATTAAGGAAGAACACATTAGAACGTCAATACGGAAAGAGAACAACTCTCTCTGGGATCATAATCATGGTTCTCAAGTCTTTGCCAAAAACTCAATCATCATAACTGCATGTTTTAAATATACGTCATACTTCTCAAGTTTCAAACAGAAAATCTTAACCTTTCTTGGACAAAAACCAAAGCAATAAAAACAGATAAAAGACTTTTTTAGAACTGTATTTCTTAGGAATATTGTGGTTTAATGTCTATTCACTTCTCACACTGGAGATTTTTAAAAAAAGGAATTGTGAAAAATCTTTCAAAATCTCCTTTTTTCCAACATGTGGTGAAAATATGGAGACAACTGAGTCATTGTCTTATTCTTTACAACAGATTTCAATGTATTCTATCCCTAATATCCAAAAGATTATAATAGTAGGTTTTAAAAAGAAAAACATAAACTTTTAATAAGTATAAATTACAAACAGAAAAGTGAACAAGTCCTAAGGCAATAGCTTGATGAATTATCACAAAGAACCACAACAGAGTAAACACCACGCAGATCAAGAACTGGAACATAACCAGCAACCCAGATGCTTCCTCCAAAATGTAGCTTTGAGTTGGCAGGTATAGCTCAGTGGTAGAGTGCATGCCTAGCATACACAAGGTCCTGGGTTCAATCCCCAGCACCTCCATCAAAAATAAATAAGTAAACTTAATTATCTCCCCTTGCCAAAAAAAAAATTTAATAAAAAGTGTAGTTTTGAGCCAGATATATATATTATTTTCATAAAAATAGTATCATTAGTGGTAGTTAGTGCCTAGATCAACTGACAAAAGCCCAAAAGGTTTATGGACAGATTGCCCTGGGGCTCATCTAACTTTCAGATTCCTTAATCAGCAGCACAGCATTCATAGGAATATAAATTAGCATAACCACCCAGTGTTCCTGAAAAATAATTTTGTGATATGTATCTAGATCCTTAAAAATGTTTCTGCTGTAAGCCCTAGTAATTCCATCATAACAATCTTTCCTGAAGCAGTATCAGTGGTGTGGTCACAGATGTATGTCCAGACAGCATCGTAAGAGCGATAGCTCTGTGCAGCCTGGGACAAAACAGTTAACCAACTGCCCTGGCCACAGCTTCCTCATCAGTTAAATGGTACTAATAGTAGTCCAAAGGTTAAATTAGTTAAGATGCATAAAGACCTTCAAACAGCCCCTGTCACACAGTTGGCAGTTCAGTAGATGTTCAGAATTATTAGCTATTGTTACAAAAGCATTCATCACTACATTATTAACATTAGGAACATTTTTTGAAAGAACTTAAATGACCAGAATTAGGGGAATGAATACACACACTTTTGGGTATCCATACGGAAGAACAGAACACCCTCCTAGGGCTGAGGTGTGGTGGTTAAAAGTGTAGCCTTTGCAGTCAGAGTGCCAGCCTGCCCCCACCAGCTGTGCAGCCTTGGACAATTAACTCTGCAAGCCTCAGTTTCCTCACCTGAAAATAGAGAATAAGAATGCCTACCTTGGAGGGCTGACTGGTTTATATACATAAAGCACTTTGAACAGTCTCTGGCATACAATTGGTGCTTAATGAGAGTTAATGTCCCAGTCCCTCTGAAGTTCAAGAGCTGGAGTCTGATTGCCCTGTGATCCATCACAGACACAAAGCTTCCCAGTCAATGGCTGGGAAAGTACATGTCTGGGAGGAAGCGGAGATGGGAACCAAACCTAAGTTCCCTTGGAGTCATCAGAAGAAATTAGGAACACGAGCCCGGCCTGGGGGCTACGTGCACAGTGGCCATGCGAAGGAGCTGGACAGGGTTGTTGCAGGGGCGGCACCAGAACGGACTGCTTTGATTAAAAGGGAAAAAGGCCTCTAAACAAAAAACTCCCAACAGAGCAGCAAACAAGTCTTGGCGAGGAAGGAGCTGGAACGTTCTCCTCCTCTCCAGACTCTCTCGGCCCCGTCCACCCACGCACTTTTTTCTTCTCCCTGCCTGCCCTCCCCACCCCGCCCCTTTCTCACTCCCGGCTCTCCCGAGACTACAGAACAGGGATGGCGAAGACAGATTCACATCCACTGCGGAGAGGAGATGTGCAGCCACAGCTTCCATAGAAAGAAATGGGATGCTCTGATGGGACTCCTCACCGGATCCGGATCCGGATCCGAAAGCCATCGTAGGGTTGCAAGCGGATGCGGGGTCCGCTCTAAAGGAGCAGGTTTACAAGCAGCCTCGGAACCCCGGAAGGAGTTGAGCCGTTTCTCAGAGCCAATAACCATGATTCCTGGACAAGTATCGGCGGCCACCAAGCCCTCCTTCCACCGGCCCTATTCCACTCTGAGCTCAGGTCCCCTGCCTATCAGCCCAAGGACCCTGCCCCTCCAAGGCGGCACGCAAGCCTGAGCCAGCCTCCTCCCCCCTTCTGTGTGCAGCCGGCAGCCGTGAAGCCCTGGTGGGCACAGAGGCAGCTACTCCCTGATCATCCCGGGACAGCGATGGGGGCCGCCGGGCGGCTGCCAGGGCCCCCTCCCCGCCCTCCAGTGACCGCGCAGGCAATGCCGCGCCTCGGTTCACTGCTGTGTTGAGTGAGGGAAGAAAAACTGCTTTTCTCGGGCCTTGTCACAATCTTGCCTTGTCACAGCTCCAGCAAGCCTTTTGGGTCTTGTAGGGTCACTGCTGCCTTATAGGGGTCTTTCCATTTTCTTTCCATAATGGATCAACATGAATTAATATTTACGCGGTGCCCTCAGTGTGTCCAGATCACACGGTGTATCCAGAACACACAATAGCCATCCTCCCTGGGGATATATTTAAATGGGCCCCATTTCTAAGAAAAATGCTGATTGCTGCTGTTTTATCCTTTAAAAATGCTCTTAAGATGATAGAATCATCCAGGGAGGAACACTGGTCAAGAATCCCATATCCTGAGAGCCCTGGTTCTTGTCACTTGGTCTCCAGTGCAAGCACCCATGTGTCGGAGACATTTCAAAGAGATTGGGCTCTCCTGGGCCTTCCTGGAAATGCAGTGACGACCCAGGTGCGCGCGGAGCACTTGAGGGCCATGGAAGGAGCCAGCCTCTGTTCTGCAGACAGAGGAGCCTCAGCAAGATTTAGCTTAAAGCGCCTGTAGTTAAAATGAAATCACCCAGGATTGCAGCTGGGAAGCTATATGAAAACTATCCTGGAAAGCATGTGAGTGCTCGGTAGGGTACATGGTTCTGAGGCCAGGTTGTAGCTTCTAAGTCCAGAGTAGACTCTATGTTTTACCCTTCTGGGAAGAGCGGGAGAAGTCAGAGCGGGGACACCCACCCAGCGAGAACTCTCCCTGGAGGGTCCCTGGTGGGATCTCAGTGACAGTAGGCTTAGCTCCCTAACACATCGAAGAACACATATTGGACACCGTCTGCCCTGACCCAGTTTATACTGAGGCTTTGAGGATGATACGGACTTAAATGTCTTTCTCCTACACACCCATTAAGGATGGACCGCATTTTCCAAGTTAGTTCCAGAGTGAGGAGTCAAGAGGCATGACTGATGTTTGGAAAGTCAGAGGTTGGCTCTTCGGCTCTTTGTGGTTTCCGTAGAGTTAGTGGTTGGAGGAAATCCACTGAAGTTCTATTTGCACAACAGCTACAAAATGTGAAACGTGCTGTTCCCTCAGTGTCAGCCTGTCAGGTGCGGTACTATAAAGTACAGGCCGAGGGTGGGCAAACACACCTGGTAGTTGAAGACCTACATACCAGGAAACACTCTCCTTGAAAGGCTGAACAGGACTGCAGGTGTGACAGGGACAATGTTGCCAGTGGGTGCGCCTGGAGGTGAGATGCTCAGAGCTCCCAGGGGCTCCCCAGGGGATGGAATCCCAGTCTCCATTTCTGATTCGCTTTCCATCTTTCTTGATGGGTCCCTTTAACATCCTGGATGACCAAACAGCATGCTTATTAAGGGTGAGTGGTGGTGTGAGTGTGTTTCATTTGAAAAGTTTTTTCCTCCATCCTGGATATTTATTACATCTTGGTAGAGTTTAGTTTTGCATATGACGGTTTAAAATGGCCCTAATAGTGAGGGGGAGGTGAACTGAAACTTCATCTGCCCCAGTTTAAAATATTACATTCTCATGTGTATTTTCTAGGCAATTTAAAGCCCAGAAATACACAAATAGGTGAAATGCAAGAGATTATAAATGCAAATCAAGTTAAGGTTCCATTGCTCTAGGGGGAGCCAAGCTCCCCGAGCTCACTGAGCTGTCTCCTCCTTAGCCATCCACAGGCCTAACCTGTCTAAACCCGCACGTGTTGGTTTGTGGTGTGGATGTTTTTCAGGCCACTCGCCCAGCTCCAGATTTCCTTCCAGCTCTAGACCTTGCCTTGTAGGTTCTTGCTTTCGTAACTTACAGAACATTTCGAGGTTCTCTGCTTGGAACCCTCTACAGCACCACCTAGAAACCTCAATCAGAATGAATGGGATGGTCCATCTGAGAGGGAAAAGGGATGATTCCACGCCAAATACTATGCAAGGATGGCTGCATGTTTCATCTTTTCAATCCCCATAATAGTGCAGTAAGGTAGACATTATTACTTCCATTTTCAGGTGAGGAAAATGAGAAATAGAGAGGTTCAGTAACTTGACAAGGTCTCCAGTAGTCGCTAGAAACCAGGAGGCCTGGGATTCAAGCTCTGCTCTGTCTGAACTATGTTCTGGTCTTGGTGCCTCTATGAAATATTCTACTTTTCACAAAATTTATTATGAACCATTTAAACAAACACAAAAGTAGATGATGGATCCCTAAATACCCATCACCCTGATAAAACAGTTGTCAAGATCTTGCCACTTTGCTTCATCCTTGTGGGGCAATTTTCTTTGGCTTCATTTCCTGTCAGTTTTGTTTCATCCAGGATCACTCATTCACTCACATGCTACGTTTCAACCAGACTAAACAAGCTGTTTAGTTGTTCTCTGAATATTGTTTTCTGCCTCTGGACCTTTGCACATGTTGATCCCTTGGGCTCAGGGGTTTCCAATCCTGGTATACAGATATCCACAGGACCCACCACTGACCAACCACATCAGAAACTGCCAGCATGAGTCATGCTTCCCTCCGTGTCCATTTGACTCACTCCTCCTCCATCTTCCAGACTCCCTTCTAGAACCATCCCTCTCTCCACAAAGCCTTCACCGATATCCTGAGCTTGGCTAGAGGTGTTCCCTCCCACTCTCCCATGGCATCTCATACATATATCCATTGTACTCTGCCCTGGTGCAATTCTCCACCAGACCGTGAATTCCTCTAGGAACATCATGGCTCTGAGTTCTGTGCCCCCAGGGACTTGCACAGGGTAGCTAGTGATCAGTAAATATCTGAGCAAGGAAAGAGAAGGACGGAAAGGGGAAGAACTTGAAGCCACCCGGGTTCCTAACCCTGCAGGTCTCTGGATGTGTGGAGCCCCAAGCGCCTCTCCTGTGAGTGTTTGGCACAAGAGCTGCCTCCACTGCATGGATGCAGTGGGTCTTCAAACAGCCAGGTGGTGGGCAGAGAGAATAAGAAAGAAAATATGAGACCAGCACCTGGGGAACATCCCCGGAGCAGTGGGTCCCAGGCTACTGAGAACTGCTTCTTTCTGGCTGTCCCCACAAATTCCTTTTGGAATTTTTGCCTCCAGACAATATCAGTCCAAAATTGGACATTTTCCAATTCTCTACAAACATCCAAAAGATCATCTAAGAAATGGGTATCTTCCTACTGTAGCAAGTAACAGACTTAGAATGTGTTACTGCCTGAGAAAATAGTCTGTTTTTAAAACTGCACTTTGAAACTAGGAGATTCCAAAAGAATATTTGTTTCTTTCTTTTTTGTTGTTTGATTGATTTTTCTGTATTGTTTTTTAATCTCTATTTTATTTATAAAAAATTTACAAAATAATTTTATTTAAAAATTTATTTTAAAAAGAATATTTCATTTCAGGCCCATCTACTAATTCTTGGATGAAACTTCAACAAGGATAAGCATGATCAATAGTGAGCTTAAGGGTAGTTTCCAACTCTGTTTAGCTTACGCTTATCAAGTCCCTGTGAAGGAGCTCCTGTCAGATTCAGAGTCACAGATTAGGAGGTAGAATGGACCTTAAACAGAGAGGTGGCCACATGGACGGATCAGAAAGCCGTGGTCCAGAGCTCCACATGGGCGGGGGTGTCGACACTAGAACGTGAGCCTGCTGGTGTCTGCGCACTGCTCTCCCCGCTACACTGCATCCGCTCACCATTCTCTCCTCCAGATGTCACAGGGAAACCAAAGGGACATCCAGCACACTTGGCCAGTGCTTAGGACTATCACTGAGCACTGGGAGCTATCACAATAAAAGAATTCATATTCACAGAGTATTTGCTGTGTGCTGAGCCCTGGGTGAGGAATGTTCACTCATTACCACACTTAATCCCCACAGTGGTCCAGTGAAGTGGATACTGACCTCCCCATCATCTTGCTGAGGAGCTGAGGTTTAGAGAGATTAGGTACCTTGCCCAATATACACAAGAAAATGGCAAAGGTGAGCCTTGAACCAGGACTGTTCAAAGGTCTTTCTTTTAAGTCCCATATTCTTCAGTCTCTCTTCTGTGTGTCATCCCTTATGGGCCCAGCACCATATAGCACAGGCCCCCAGTGCCCCCTCAGCTGGCTCTTTCCGGCATCCGGCTCACTGCACAAGGATGCTTCTCTTTGACACTTTCTCCAATTTAGAGGAAGTGGTTCTGGGCTCTCCTTCCCAGCTGCCAGTTAGTTTCCAGCAGGAGGTTACATTTTGGTGGCAGTGACTAGATGGATACTTGAAAAGCTATGAAGATGAATGCCAACTATATTCCACTGAAAATCCTCACTTCATAATACAAGGCTACGGACTGTATACCTTCCCAATGATTCACCTTTCAGGTCACTTATTAGCTGTGTGACTTTGCACAAGTTACTTAACCTCTCTGTGCCCCAGTTCCCTTTGGTGTAAAATGAGGACAATAACTGTTCTTCAAAGGGTAAGTGAGGACTGAGTGAGAAAATACATGTAAAGGCCTGGCACACAGTAAGTGCTCAATAAAGGATACCTATCATTCCCAGTAGTATTTGTCATTGTCACAGTATTTCATCCATACATGCTTGTTTCTTTGGTTTCATAAGCCCATGAGAACAGTCCTCAGTATTTAAGTGCTCTAGAGAAATATTACTTTTTATTGCAAATCTCCTACTTTAGCATGAGTTTGTATGAATTCTGTGTCTGAAAATGATGCTATAAGTGCCTGAATTTCCAGGAGCTGGCGTGCCCACCATTCTGATGAAGGCAGCCAGGCAAGAGCTGGCTTTGTGCCTTGTGCAGTCTCCTGAAATTGACCCCATCTGCTCTGACTGGCCTCCTTTTTGTTCTTTCTCATCTCGCCATCTTCCAGTGGTGCTTGTCAGGTGGAAAGGTAAAAATGCAGTGACTTGAAGGAAACTGGCATTTGGAAGGCCTGAAGCCGCAGGGCGAGGTGATGTACTCTCCCCGCTGAGCCTCCACTTCACCTGGCAGCACTGGCAGGACCAAAAGTTCTGTTCCTGATCAAGATCACACCATAAGGCAACTCATGCCCCTTTCCCAGGCTCTCATACCGCTGAAGGAGAACTTGGCCTCACTTGGAACCACCTGGTGTTTTCATACACTGCACTGAAGCATTCATGATCCTTTGGGTCAAACTCATTAAAAAAATAATAATAACATTTGCATCTGATTTAATTCCTCCAGGAGCCCCAAACTGTGTTGGCTTTAAACATCCTGTGTCAAGATAATAAATACAAAGTCTGGGGATTAGGCCAGGCGGGGAGATTTATAAAACACTTGATGTATTAAAGCCCCATGATTCACTCTTTGCTTTATCTAAAAATGAAGTCACATCTCTTTCGTTTTTCAGGCTCTTGTCTATATCAAAGACAGACTGAGTGGGCTGACTTCACCCCACGAAGCTCATCAGAAAGGAAAGGGCAAAATCCTCCGATCAAAGTGATTTTCTCTTCAGCAGGAGGCGAGAATTCCCAAAGCAATTCTCAGGGCTTTGGATGGGCTATCCCCTAGTCCCTACTTGCAGCCAAGCAACCAGACAGAGCACACCTCCTCCCTTGCCCCTCTGCCCTAGGAGAGGTGTCTTGCTTGGCCAAAGAGGGCACATGGGATGATAAAATCAGGCACCAAACACAGGTTCTCCATCTTGCTCATTCACTCACAGGAAACCAGACAGAATCCCTGGGGGAGGGGGTGGGAAGCCCATTTCAGGGCTCACCGCATCTCTCACACGCTGTCCTCTGGCTCCGCGGGCTTCTCCCTTGGGTAGTCAAGGACAAGTGCTCTGCCCCCTGGGGCTTTCCTTCATTCCTGAGCCCCAGTGCAGCGGGCCACAGTGCCGTTTGAGCACTTTTATGGGGCAGTAAAACTTTACAGCCTGCAGCTCTCAACGGTTCCCACATTTCTGAATAGAACTATTTATGACTTACAAGACCACTACGGTTTGCCCTTTGAAAACACGAACAGATATTACACCCTTTCAAGAGGGGTTGACCGAGTGACATGTGCTAACAGCTGGCTTACAGAAACCCGGCGGTGGCAGAGCTAAACTCCTGACTGTGAGCAGCTAAGTTAGAAAGTAAAACTGCCTTTGAGTCTCACAACATCACCGAGGTAGCCGTACATACACTTGGCCTCTTCCATGGTGCTTAGCGTCTCTCCCCCGATTTTTTGCTTCCCTGCCCCTTTCCCGCCTGGATCGACAGGCATCCCTTGGTCAGCAAATCCAGAGAACCCATCTTTTCCTTCCGTCTTTAGAAGGCAGAAAATCAAAACCAGGAAAAAGCCAGCAACTCAACCACAACTTGTTTCTCCCCAGAGCAGCGCCCAGGATTAATTAACCAGCTAGCCCAGGAAAAGCATCGCCTGACACTTGGAATTTCCCTTACCGGTGTTCCATACCGGCCGCTCCCGCGCATCAGAGCCGGGCCCCAGCCTCCTCGGATGTGGGGACTCAGCTCCCTGCAGCCTACGGACAATCCAGCGCATTATAGTCAGCAGGCTGCCGAGTTAAAGGGTGGCCCTTAGGAAAATATAAACAGCTAGTCAGCGCGAGCCAAGGGGGCGGGGCTGCAGCGGGGGACAATGGGAGCCAATGATCAGCCTCCTCGGGCTCTGTTAGCTTAGAGATTGTGTTTCATTCTGGAGGAGAGACAGAGAGGGAACAGCACTGAATAGGAAGGGCAGCCCTGCAGCATGAAATGGGTCCAAGTTGAAAAGTTTAATCGCTGCCTGCAGAAAATCATTTTCCAGGAAGAGCTTGTATGCCTTGCACATAATTATATAGATTTTTAGAAGTCACGAACATTTGTGTTGCATTAACCATCTTTGATCTCTCCCGGTTAATAAATGTAGTATTCACTGGGGTAATGAATCAATGGGGAAAGGAGTTTTTCAAAGAACAAAGTCCAAGGAAGATGCTTTTATGGCACGCTTATTCTGTTGGACATAATATCTGTTGAGAAATACTCACTACATCTAGAGGGAAAATGCTTGATTTGATAGGTATATCTTCAGAACTTAAAGAAACAGGCTTATTTTATTTCCCAAATATAAATGACTCACATTCATTTTTTAAATGCTCATTTATCTGATCATACCTATGCAGAAGTTAGGTCAGTGCATCTGGGAGAAGGCAGGACAGCTGTGGCTTTTTTCTCTCTTATGAACTTAAACTAAATTCTGCTTTTAAAGCTACGAGGTCAGCTTAAGTTTTCAATACCGTGATAATAACCAAGAATCAAGAAATAAAGGAAATGAACTGTGGCTTTTTCTTTCTTTATATGATTTCTAAATAATACACTGAGGTAAAAATAAAATTAAGAGCTACTTGGATGATTTGTGGCATTGTGTAAATTACAGGCATAGAAACGTTGAGAAAAGTACACTCAGTACAATTTGGAGTAGACTCGTTGTTTATAAAGGGAGGCACGGTGGCTATCAAAATTAACTAGCAGAGAAACAGGAAAATGTTGAAATATAATCATTTCCCACAAACTCTCTATCAAGCCCTTCTGACTTGGATTATAAAAATGATAATCCATAGACACTGTCCCTTCTAACCTATGGCAGTTTTAAAATATTTATGATTCTGACACTGATGTTTACTTTATATTAAAGTAAGATTCCTCTGGTAGCTCTTCTAAATAGTGTTTGAGGCACCTTCTGGCCCTTCTGTTTTTCTAGTGATTCCAGAGATGCTGTTATATCTGATTTTAAAGTACGGGTTACCTTCTGGAAAATGTCTAGTTTTCCTCTAAAGCCTAAAGAACATGTCATTTTAAAAATGCTTCAGAACACCAAAAGCTGAATCAAAGAAAAAACAGATAAACTAGATTTCATTAAAATTAAAAACTTTTTTGTATCAAAGTTTGTTATCAAGAAAGTGAAAAAGTAACCTACAGGACAGAAAAAATATTTATAAATCACATGTCTGATAAAGGTTTAATATGCAGAATATATAATAAACGCTTACAGCTCAACAGCAAAAAGACAAATAACCCAATTTAAAAATGGGCAAAGGGCTTGAATAGAAATTGCCCTAAAAATGATATACAAATGGCCAGCAAGCACATGAAAAGATGTTCAACATCATTAGTCACTAGGGAAAGTCAAATCAAAACCCATTGAAGTACCACTTCACAACCATTAGGATGGCTTAAAACAAAAAAGAAAGTAACAAGTGTTGAGGAGGATAAGGAAGAACTGGAAGCTTCGTACATTGCTGTGGGAATTTAAAACAGTTCAGCGGCTGTGGAAAAGAGTCCTGCAGTTCTTCAAAAAGTCAAGCGTAGAACTGCTGAGCCAGCAATTCCACTCGGGGGTACGTAACCAAAAGAGCTGAAAAGAGGCACTCAGACAAATTCATGCATACTCATAGTCACAGCAGCATTTTTCATGATAGTCAAAGGGTAGAGACATCCTAAATGCCCGTGAACAGATTAATGGATGAACAAATTGTGATATATACATACGATGGAATAGTGTCCAGCCACAAAAAGGAATAAGGTATTGATATACAGACTACAAAGAGGATGACCCTCAAAAACATTATACTAAATGAAAGAGGACAGACAGAAAAGGTCATATATCACATGATTCCATTTATATGAAATGTCCAGAATCAATAAGTCCGTAGAGACAGAAGGCAGACGGGTGGTTGCCAGGGACTGGAGTAGGGTGGCGGGAATGAGAAACCACTTATTGGATGCAAGGTTTATTTTGGAACTTAGATAGAGGTGGTGGTTGCCTAACATTGCGAATGTGATTATGTCACTGAATTGTTCACTTTAAAATGGCTAGTTGTGTATGTGTGTGTGTGTGTGTGTGTTTAAGCTTCAGTATCTTCTGGGTTCAACAGGAACCTTCCTCGAAAGGTCATACCAGGAATTTACTGAAGATTTTTTTTTAAGATTTATTCATGTACTCATCCATTCAGTATTTGTGCATTGTTCAGCATCTATTAAATGCCAGGAGACCCACTTACACCTTCTCTATCAAAGGTGAGAAAGAACAGGACCATCTAAAGGGGAAAGGAACATGGCAGGCAGGGTGAGAGAATTAATGTTTGGTAAGTGGCTGTGACCTGCTAGGTCATCTCAGTCTTGATCTCACTTACTTTTCAAAATCAGGTATCACTTATGCACGAAATCTAAAGAATGATACAAATGAACTTATTCACAAAACAGAAAGAGACTCACAGACATAGAAAACAAACTTATGGTTGCCAAAAAGGGAGGGATAAATTAGGAGTTTGGGATTAGCAGATACAAACTACTATATAAAAGATAGATAACAACTGCTGTACAGCACAGGGAACTATATTCAATAACTTGTAATAACCTGTAATGAAAAAGAATATATATAAATGTAGAACTGAATCACTTTGTATACATCAGAAACTAACACAAGATTGTAAATGAACTATACTTCAATTAAAAAAAAACACCACTTGGAGTTGAGGGGGTGGAAATTATTATTCTCATTTTACTGAGACAGAAGTTGAGAATCAGAGAGTTTAACTACCTTCCCAAAGGCACCCAGCCCATAGGCAACGAAGCAGGCTCTTTCCTTCCACCAGCTGCTCCCTGAACAGAGGTGTGTGAAGAACTGAATCCATCCCCAGTGCAGAGGGAAAAATAAATAAATGACTTAAATGTATTATTATTTAGAAGTCAAAAAAAAAAAAAGGTAGCTAGGCTCTCTTTCTAATGGGATAAAGACACAAACCAGGGAAAATACAAAACCGGCTATCAAAGGCTTACTCAAAAAGTTTCATTTTCAGAAAACAACCATAGAACTTTAGACCCAGAGTGGTTTTCTAAGTAAGCTGACCAGATACTCTCATTTTTCTGATGGGAAATCCAATGCCCTGCACAAAACTGAGTGACATGCCCAGAGTTATATAGCAAAATAGCAGCAAGATTCACATCTCTTAACTCCAAGACCAGTGTTCTTTCTACTGTGCTATACATCAAAAATTAAGAAATCGATCTCAGATTAATTTTTCCTGAGTAGATCTCAAATTCTTTGCCTCTCCATAGTATTAGTAGACATAATTTCTACTCTCTGTATACTCTGAGTGTAACGACCTACAGCCAATGTGACATTCTCTTGAGAGTTTACTGTTTCTTTCTTCACATGGTTTCTTAAACACCATTGAAGAAGAGAGTAATTCACAAGTTTTACTCTGGGAAGGATTATATTTGAACTCAGTTCATCTCAGCACAGGTAAGCCTCTTGGAAACTTGGAACAGGAAATGAACTGAGAACAAGAAGAAGGAGGCTTTGAAAGCACAGAAAGATTTTGCCAGGAATTTCATCAAGAAAACACAACCACACAGGACTGAAAGTCTCCGACCACGCTGTCCCCCCCGCCCCCCCCGAGGCCTGTCTCTTTTCTGACTACAGTATCTCTTGGCATTGGCCTGTTGCTGTTATTAAACATAATACACAAAATAATTACAGGGGGAGACGTATGTTCTTTTCAAAGATGGGGAGGTGACATCATCACTTTCTAAATTTCAAGCCATTAGATTATGCAATTCAGAAAA